TAACGCACGGAACAAGCTTGTAAAACTCAATGCTTTTTTTCTAAAGTGCACAGAATAAACAACAAATAAGTGCAATCGCCGAACCGGTGAGCATATGCGTAGTATACTTGTTTTCCAACTGTAACATTCCATCCACGGTTGGGTTGAAAGATTTCTAAATCGAAATAACTATTGTTGCTTCCCGGCTTTTCAGTTTACGCTTTATTTGTTTTGTACACGATGAAAATAGCCATGCATGATCATCAAACTGGGAGTCAAACAGATTTCAAAGCACCGCATATGTGGTTATAATTAAAATCTGAGAATATGTTGGGGAAAAATCATTGATGTTTTTGAATGCAGATGCAAGTTAGAGGCGTTCAGGATAAACCTATAAGATCGGCCTAGGTAAGTTGCCGTAGTTGAAGTGAATAGATGTATGACCTATGTCGAATAGGTACAATCGAATTCCTCAATAGTTTCCTTGCTAGCAAGAATGATCAACGAATGCTATATGGTGTCTGCTTGGGGGGGGCATCGTGACTATATTGTTTTACATGATGTTGAATCAATAGAGAGACGTGATGTCAAAAGCTTCACCGCCTTGTTGGATTGCTGCTTCAGTACCACTTCAAAATATTCAATTAGCCGCTTCCAAGCAAACTATTTGCATGGGCTGGTTAAACAAATTGCAGAATAGCGTCATATATTAGTAAATTCTCATGTGTTTTCCCAAATTGGATGGGTTTCACTACCTCCATTCACCAATAAAGATGCCATGAATGACATCGAAAAACTTATTCGTTTTATGTGGTTAGAGTCCACTGTGCGTAACAGTTTGGCGTCTAAAGCTTTACTATTAGTCGCATGGGAATTTCCGATCAATCTTTGGAAAAAATATAAGGGAAAAATCAGTTATGAAGATCTGCCTTGCTTTCATTTTTCCATTTTCTAGAGCAATCAAATCAGTCAATCTTGGTCTGTCAGCTTTTTGACAAATTATAGATGAAGTGACCCACATAAAACCTATGATGCGACAGGAAACCAGGTTTTGTTGCCACTGGAAGTCAGTAACGTGCACACCGATCTTAATGTTAGTGCTTGGTCTCACGGCAATATAAAACATCTAATTACAACCACGGCGTATGTGTTTATCTACTGTGTACAGCTTAGTAAAAAACAGTTGTTATGACTAAGTGGAAAATTTAGGTACTTTAGCCATTCCAAAGCGCGGCAGTTCCGTCTCAACAGTTTTAGCGGTAACAAAACTAGTGCCTTCGATGGGGTCTTCTGTGATCAAAATATGCGTCACTTAGACCGTTCAGTCAACGAAACATGATTGAAGAATCACAGTTCACTTTCAATCCGTGCATCTTCACTAATATAGTATTCGCGGTGAACAGTTTTTTAATAGACCGCTGGCGACTGAAGCGTGGTCTAAGTAAACTTCCCAGTTTAATATGCCATTTGAATGTAACTTGTGAGAGTCGTAAGTAATTTTTTAAGGTTTGCATTAGGACGACGAAATTAATCAAAGTGTGAATGGATGTTATGATTTTTGTGCAATTCGGATACCGAATGGCATGAAAAATGAAGTTTTCTCTACTATATAATACTTTACGCTTATATAGATTTTTCATCGACGAACAGCTTATCGCAGTGATTTCGTATCGATCAGTTTTATCTGCATTTCCCCGGTAAATGAAATTACCCCTGGCTTTTAATTTAGAGAATCGAAGATCACAATAAATTATGCAAAAGGTCTCTTGTTTGATTCGTAATGCTTGTCAGGGGCAAGTGCTTCGGAGGCAGCTGATCCTTCATTCAGAAATGAAATAAGTAACACAGTAGAAGTGGAAGTAGTGAAGGGGGAAGGAATTTGAAATGCGAACTCAGCGTTTACCGATGCCGTTGTTATGGCCAAGTGACCAAATCGTTGAAACTGAATCTTTTAACCGAATATTATAGCTGCAAGTCGTTGAAAGCGTTAACGAGCCCGCAATTCAACGAGTCGGAAGCGATTCGATTTTCAAGTTGGTTGAGATGATGCAACTGACGAATAAACCGAGGATAGGCGTCTGTGTGTGACAATCGTTTTGAGTTTTTTCTATGCAAATGACTATACAAAATGTCTTCTGGAATTTTGTATCCGTCTGTCGTTCACACGGTAATGTTGTGCTGTGCCAACTGATCAGGAGGAAACCACCGACGGAAAGTTGGGTGAATAACTTGACGCATGGTGGTTCAAATAGGCCAACTGGTGAATTGATTTGACCGGTTCGTATAGTCGAACGTCTGACAAATAATAACACATACGCGTTCCAAGTCACTTGGTTTCTTTCACGGGATCTGTCTGTCCAGTAGTAGCAGTAGGGCTCCCAACTTTGACGGGCGGTCCAGCTGCGTCGGGTTTCAGTTTTGCCGGAGTTCGTCCGCCAGTAGCGGCGGCGGCAGCAGCAGCATTCGCCTGCATACATCGCATGTGTCTGGATGTGGATAAACCAAGTAGTTGTAAATCTTGTACACTGTTCATCCCAGCTTCAGCACTGGCAGCCGCGGCAGCTACACCGGGTAAATGCAGTCCAGGACCGGGGGAACTGGAAAAACCTGAGCTCAGATTACTCAGAAATGAGAAGGGAGATGTGGACGACGCGGTGTTGACCAGATGCAGCACAGCCCCATCCAGTTCGTTACTGGCTTCCTGAAGACTGGCTGCCAGGGCACTCGCGGCTGCCGCCTTTGCAACCTCTCTCGCCTCGGTGTATAGTGTCATATATACTTCAGATCGCAGAAAACGACGATAGGAGTCTTTTTCCATTAATGCTTGTATTCGCTTTTGCGCATTATCCATTGTGTGTATGGTTGGATTTGCCAAATCAGCTTCAGTCTGAAGTCGTGTTTTCGAATCAAGGTTAACCTGTTGAGGATGGAAATGGGAAACAAACGATAGTTTCCAGTCACAAACTGTGCGTTGAACGTGTCAAGGCACGTAAAAATGCGATTTTCTTAGATCAATCACTGATCGCTTGGGCCAGTCTAGCGATCAGCAGAATTCAATTCACCAAGAGATGTGGTTTATGTGGACGTAAACACACGGGTAAAGTGAGAAATATTCGTTTGGCTTAATTGGAAATAATGTAACTAAGTACTAACACTATGGCAGAACTAAAACAAATTACGTGCATTGTGCATTCTGAATAAACATAACATTCAAATATTTGCAACGGGGTTAGGTGAAATTTTAACTAGTTTCTGAACATCTTGTAATTGACTTTGAATTAAGAAAAGTGACTGATTAGATGAGTGGTTTCTGCAATATCTTGAAAATTAGTCCACAAAATAAAATCCCTTGCCAATTCGTAAATTTAGTTGAGAGATGAAAACGTATTAAGTTGACAATCAAATGTCAGGCTATGAAGTTCATCTGAAATAGAGTAATCAAACACCTGAAGATAACTTGTTTATAATATTGGCCACAGTGATCGTTTAAATCAATTAATTGAATTCAATTTGTTAGTGGTAAATGAAGAACCAAACAAATCGTGATTATCACCCGTGTGGTTAATGTCAGTTCGGTTTTCCTACACGTGTGTCTTTCACCGGGTGCAGTTTATTTAACCAGAACTGTAGAGAGAACACTTTTGTTGTATTGAATCACCGCTGATTGCAAACGTATACATCATAAAATGAATTTTATTCAAATAACTCAACAAGGCACGATCGGTTACATTCATCACGGGATTGCATGACCACAAGTGCATTGTGGGGGTTCTTCATTTGCCCGCCACACATTGATATATTTTCTGGGTTCCTTTATCGTTCACGACATCTAAACGACTATTTAGAACCCCATATTGTTCAGTGGGTGAAACCAAATTTTCCCAACGGTTCCCGACAGGACTCACTCAATGTGTAGCAGGAGTGTTGGGATTCTGTTTTGAATGGATGAGGACAATAGTCTCGTCAAAAAACGCCCGGTATCCACCGCAATCAATCCATCTTTGTCATCGTCCTCATGGCGAGGTGTGTGACACATGCAGATGATCTGTCTCATACAAACAAGTCTACCAAAATGATCCAATCGCCAATCAGCTCATTTCGTTTTTTCAGGTGCAAGCAATGGAAACGAATTCTCATATTGTGGAAAAAGAACCTGCCCGCGCTAAAACACAAAAGTTTAGTCATTTCAGTATCCCTCAATTGGCAGTTCTTTTGATGCGTCTGTTGACTGTGTCGGCAGACGGACACTGAATATGTTACCAGTTTTATAATTGAACACGTTTGCAATAATGGTGATGGGGTTAAGCGTTCAGTCTGTGGCTGAATGTAATAAAATAACTTACCATCGACTCAAACAAACACTGAAGAATCCTTGTCGTAGAAAAAGAAATTTTCTAGTCATGGATATTGAGTTATATCAACAGCTTGAGAATTACATCTTTAAGGGTTCTTTTGCTTGGAAATTCTGGAAGACACTCGGCAAACGTTCCTCCCTGATAAACGTCGCATGATAACCCTCGAATCTTTTACAAATTGCTTGTGCGTCATCACTTTTTATCTGTTCTTCTCACATGTCAAACGATTCATGTGTAACCGTTTGGAAATCGTGCTTGTTGGCTCAGCTGAGGTTGACTCTTCATGTAAAATCAACGCTCTAATATTTTGCTTCACTTCTGTTTTGGTTACCCTTCGGTTCTGTTCTGAACGTGAATCCGCGGTGAGGTACATGGGTTACTCTTCTTCAGATGCAAAAGTGGATGATTTGAAACTGATTTGATATCTAGTTCATCGATTACCACCGCGGAAAACAGTAGACTAATGCAATGCACGACAACAGCTTTCACGAAGTGATCACAGGCAAAAAAGGCTTGTCGGATTACGTGTTGAGAAAGAGAAATAACGTAGGCATTTTTGTTTATCCGATTGTCACCAGATATTTATCCCACCAGTGGAGAACCCCATTCAGACAAACTCAATTGCTTTCCAGACACGACTGTGTTGGTTGGGTGTAGTTCCGTGGTTGAACAGGATAAAACCTACGAGTTAATAACCTTAGGCTTATTATATTGCGGAAAGAGGTGCCATCCTTATCAAAGTTTGATTCATCTAAAGTTAGCTATTGCTG